CTCTTCTCCAGGCTGAACAAGCCCAGCTCCCTCAGCCTTTCCTCCTAGGGGAGATGCCCCAGGCCCCCCATCAGCTTGGTTGCCCTCCTCTGGGCTCTCCCCAGTAGCTCCTCCTCCTCCTTGAGCTGGGGAGCCCAGCACTGGGCGCAGAGCTCCAGGTGGGGTCTCATTGGGGCAGAGCAGAGGGGGAGGAGAACCTCCCTCGCCCTGCTGGCCACGCTCCTCTTGATGCGCCCCAGGACGCCCTTGGCCTTCTTGGCCACCAGGGCACCCTGCTGGCTCATGGCCACCTTGTCGGCCAGCAGGACCCCCAGGTCCCTCTGGGCAGAGCTGCTTCCCAGCAGGGCAGCCCCCAGCCTGGACTGGTGCCTGGGGTCCAACCTCCCCAGGGGCAGCCCCCAACACTTGGCCCTGGTGGAACCCCATCAGGTTCCTCGCGAGGGGATTTGAAGGCTTGCAGGCGGGGCGGATCTGTCAGCAGATCCAAGAAGATCCAACTGCGAGATGGAGAGCTCCCAACGCCAGCCCCTTGACCCCAAACGTGGGTGGTTTCTTGTCCTTTCAGTGTTGAACCTGACCCTGATCGACCTCCCGGGTATCACCAAGGTGCCGGTGGGGGACCAGCCGCAGGACATCGAGTACCAGATCAAAGACATGATCCTGCAGTTCATCAGCAGAGAGAGCAGCTTGATCCTCGCCGTCACGCCGGCGAACATGGATCTGGCCAACTCGGACGCGCTCAAGATGGCAAAAGAAGTTGATCCTCAAGGTAAGACAGACGCGTCCTCCCGTCTGTCCCTGCCCGTGCCGCTGCTCCAGCCCGGGAACGCAGCTCTAAAGCCTTCAGCGGCTGTCGCGGCCCGGTCTCAGCAATCAGTTCCCCCATTTTGGTAGCAGAGGGTCTCCTTATCCCCCCTCCTCCTCCTCCTCACCCCCCCCCGCGGAGGACCCTCCGTCCGCTGACGGTTGAGGCAGGGCCAGCGGTTCCGCTCCTGGCTGGCGCGTCCGTGTCGGTTTTGGTTGCGCGTCCGCGTGCTGTGAGATGGGATTAATCGATGGCTCGTTCGTGCGGCTGCTTCAGGCTTGCGGACGATCGGGGTCATCACCAAGCTGGATTTGATGGATGAAGGCACGGATGCCAGAGATGTGCTGGAGAACAAGCTGCTTCCTTTACGAAGAGGGAAAATGGACCACGAAGGCTTT